AGCTTTTACAGTCAATCCCATTATTTGGTGGAGAGTAGACGCATGGGTGGCGAGCGCTACTGGCTAGTTCCCTTTCTCAGATCAGTAGTTCTAAATTAAGAATGGTTTATATGGTTTATGTTTGAGCCTTAGGGAATTCTGATCTAAACTTTTAGCCCATGTGTCTTACAGGTTGAAAATTCCTGGTACTAATCCCGCTCATAACTTCTTTTATTCATACAGAGTACTCATGGATTGAATTAGTTATAAAATTTCAAAAACCTCCATGGCTATATATTGTCTTCCAGCGGGCCGTGGTTTGCCAACAGCTAATTTAAAAGAAGTTGATAATGAGTTATGTTTGATGCTTTATAAATTTATTATAATTAGTGGAAGTAGATGTAATTGTTGGATATTATGACATATAGTTCTCCCAGAGGTAGTATCGTGTACAATATATATGAACAGCATTCAGTTCGATATTGAAATATCGCCAGGATTAATTGAAAATTAATTTGGCTTGGAATCGAATAAAGGAACCAAGAGAAATGTTTTATAGTTTACTCACTGGGTGATTCGAATTCTGACGAGTACACTGAGGTATTTTTAAAACCTGTGTGAAAAATTTTTAGGTTAAACATGTTGCTGAATCTACAAACAGAGGTGCAGTACTAAATTTAGAGGTGAGGGGTCGCCATGACCTTCTTTACTCCCACCCACGACAGATTTTTTTTTTTTTCTTTTTGAAGCACAGAGCTATGATGGGTTATTTAAGCTCTGCCTGCCGCGGTTATCGAAACTCGTTTTTTAGCATTATAAGCCCGTAGATTTACCACTGAGACGCCAGGGGGGTGACCTGTCTATCTAACATGGCTACCGTGTTTTAATTAATTAATTAAAAATTCAAGCAATCACTGCTTGAGTATATTATTGTGAAACAGTAGGGTGAGAGAACTTCCAGCTAATGATAACAACTTTGTTTTGGACAAAGCATTCAATATTATAGATACGATTACACTCCCATCGATACACATATGAATGTATAAGAAAGCGACACGAGAAATAGTCTACATTAGGACTATGGGAGTGATCTACACTACTACATAAGGTGATATAAATAGGTTTACTCTGTTTGTTCTGGAGTATAATGATAGAGTATAAAAAGCCAGTCAAAAAACACGGGAAACCATTGTTGGATGATAAAAGAAAATGATATGATTTAACTAAAACAAATTTGTCTGTACCTCCAAAATGTACCTACTTTTCACTTATTTCATCAGTCTCGAAGTAATTCTTTAATCACCACATTTTTTTTAGTAAAAACTACGCAGAAAAATTAAATGTTATCGTAAACAAAAATACGTGTGCTCTCTGAAACACTTAAATAGCACTCTTGAGCCTTTTCACTGTATTCTAGATCAGGAAGTAGAAAACATAGTGCGGACATTTCGAGACAAATTTTCAATTCTTTCGATTGTACGAAGGATAAAAGATACTTGGTAGTAATAAATGTTTTAAGTCAAAGTAGGTAATGTATGTTTTAAAATACCAATATATATATTAACATTTATTTATCGCTTAAAACTTTTTAAACACTGACTCTATAACGTTAGTAATAGTAGGCCTATTTGTAATCTAATTTACTACATAAACGTAACGTAAGGCTTAGCTGGAACACTACTTGGTAAATTTTATTTTGTTTTTGGCTACAACTCAATGTCATAAAACTTCTGAATTAAACTATTTTGCTATTATATATCACTGAAGTTATAAAAAAAAACCTTTCTAACAAATGAACATGAAAATTGAGCATTCAACATAAATACCATAGTTGGCCTAAGAACAATTAGGTGATAATTTTGTTGCTAAGCGACAATGTATGTTGTAAGTCTAAAGATTCAACTATATTTGAGAATACTACGAAAAAACATACGAAATAGTGATGTGCTGTTGCTTTTAATTTGGCGAAGAGCAAATTGACAGGGCTATTTTTGTTTTGCCTATTTCTAGCCAGTTTGTTTTCCTGCCTGTATTTTTTTTTCACAAAATGTTCCAATTTAAAAGGTTAATCTAAAGGGGAACACTTACCGTTTGTTATTTATAGCCACGTGTGTGTGTTCTAATGATTAAATGTAAAATGGGAACTTGTAATGGATATCGAAGGTAAATAATCAAGAAAGACTTCGATTCAATATGGCCTCTCATTGTCTTTAGATTGAGCTCAGAAAGCATACTGTCTGTCTAAGTTTCTAGAATTTGAAACAGCGAAGCAGGTGTATACATCTGGAGGTAGAGTTGTACTTAAACAGCTTTGAAGTAAGAACTTCTTAAACTAAAACGACACACAGTCTTTTGTACTCATACAATTATCTCCTTCAGTTGTGAAAGGAAGTGTTACAGGAATCAATTTACTTTAAATCAGCTTAACGAGTCACCTTTAAGTATAACGTACAAAAATAGCATTTTCTCAAGTTCCCAAGACATGACAAGTCCATTACATCTGTATTGTAACGATTTGACAGTCACTTTAAAAGTCAGATAGTCAATAATGTCCGTCAGGAACTAGATGTTACAGTTGGAAAAGTTTTTAATCTTTTATTCCTAACTACATAATCTAGGGCTCAGTTAAGTTATTAGTAAAACTAATATCGTTTAGTTTATTCAATAAAAACCTTAAAAAGCGGTTTTATGTTAACAAATTAAATATAACACATTAAACAATAATTTGACTCCAGAGAGCTTTATATACTTGGTTAGTTACCTTATTCTAATGTCTATAATTCGTAAATTAAACATCAAAGAACTATAATTTTGTATAACGTGAGATGTTGAAAAAGATGGCTCCAATGCCAAAAATATATGTCACGAGGATTAGCTGATTATGCAATTTACATAACAGGGACTGTATAAAACCAGAATCGAACGTGCCAAGATTCTTTCTGCTTTTAAAAATGGTTCCCAATGTCTGAATGTTAGAATTGCTCTTGTAAAGCAGTGTTATTACTCCAGTATTGGTGATGACATTGGTGTACCAGTAAGATCCTGCAGACGAGAAAGGACCATAGAGCAATGAGGCTTAATGGGAGTTAAAAAAACACACACAAAAAGGAGTTATTGCTGATGGAAATCACTAATTTCTCCCCACAACACCCGCTGAAGCTACGAAGAAAATGAAAACAAGGTAGTTTAATGATGCAACGCATGATGCTCGCCTCAAAACATCCGCTGAAGCTATGAATGAAATGAAAACAAGGTAGTTTAATGATGCAACTCATGATGCTCGCCTCAAAACACCCGTTGAAGCTATGAATGAAATGAAAACAAGGCAGTTTAATGATGCAACTCATGATGCTCGCCTCAAAACACCCGTTGAAGCTACGAACGGAAATAAAAAAATAGGATAAGGCGTTGATGAAACTCGCAATATTTGCTCCATAACACCCGCTGAAGTTATGTTGGAGAAGAAAATCCCCAAGGGGAATGCGGCACCAGTCAAATTGTTAACCGCACTGGACTCCCACAGTCATCAGTCTGGAAGACTGTTGAACAGGCCTTTCAGGATATATATCTAACATGGCGTGCCACAGGGAGATGGTTAGAAGTTGCAATCTGATTCTTGGTTAGAGTGGGAACCAGTCAACATCTTATGGACTTATGAGGCCCAGTTTTCTCTCCATGGCTAGGTCATAACTATGTCATCTAGAGATTTAAAAAATCCATACGTTTTTTGTGCGATGGTAAATGCATGATGACAAGGATACAGTGTAGGTTGGATTCACCAACAATTTAACACTGGACTTTATTTTTCAGAATAGCAGCAAAAGCTACCAGTTAGTATTGAATGATAGCTTTCTTGTAAAGCAATGCTCCACTTAACATGCTTTCGGGGATCGAGTAATTGACAGATATTTTTCAAACAACACTTTCTCCAGATCTCTTAAATGTGGAGACACCTCAAGTCATTTGTGGTATGATTGTTTGTTTTTGAATTTCGCGCAAAGCTACACGAGGGCTACCTGCGCTAGCCGTCCCTACTTTAGCAGTATAAGACTAGAGGGAAGGCAGCTAGTCATCACCACCCACCGCTAACTCTTGGACTACTCTTTTTACCAACGAATAGTGGGATTGACCTTCACATTATAACGCCCCCACGGCTGAAAGGGCGATCATGTTTGGTGAGACAGGGATTCAAACCCGCGACCCTCAGATTGCGAGTCGAACGCCCTAACCACCTGGCCATGCCGGGCCAAAAATACTACAGATTAAAACTCACGGACGTTTTTCAAAACGCTATGGGCCTTGCGATATGATCTTTCAATTGACGACTGTTTAAATTATCTCAAGTTAGTGTCAATTAGTGCCTGTTTTCCACAGAAATTCGTTCCTCGTGTATCTTGACAAGCACGAAATGTAGTATAAGACGACAACTGTTAAGAAGAAGGCTGTATTAACTGTGTATCAAATTCTCTCAAGCAATAATGGACACGAATGGCAATCAGCGACCCGGATGAATATTAGTTTTAGTAATGGAATCGATCTTCCCATCATCCAATTCGTTCATCACTTTTAAGTTATAGACACTAGGTAGGCCAGCTAACGCTATAATAATAATAATAATAAAACCAGTACAGAATGAATATATAGTGATTAAGCCCAGTTCTGCTTCAAATGTAAAATAAGATTAACGTTAATTTCAATTGACTAAGCCACTCTCCTGATACTACAGGTACAGAGATATATCTCTAAATGTCCCGAAAATGATAAGGTTTACTTGAAACGTGCTTTTATTTAATAACGCCATTTTTGTACACGTTGTAGTTTTTAATTCAAAGTTTATATGTATAACTAAGAAATGCCAAAGTCACGTTATCTCTGGGAATGTGACAATAGAACCAAATGCATTGTTTATTTAATACAAGCTTATGCGTACACACTTTTATGCGCTGAATAAATGTAAAAAAAAAAAAAAATAGACTATTTTTCATTCGACACAACTTGTAAGTTATCAAAACTTTCTTGGAACATAAAAAACAAAATACAAACGTGACAAAATATAGTACAACAAAGTCACTGATATTACCTAACGACTTCGAGGTAAATTTGTATTAAGATTTTTCATTTTGAGGCATAATTTTGAGGTTTCGAGAGATTCTTTTAAATTTCAACATTATTTCCTCTTGTATTAGATTGTAAGACATCAGAACGACCGCTAATCCGAATATCAAGTAAAAACAACAGATTATTAGTCTTGTCTGGGCAGACTGAGATTGTGTGTTAAAGTCATAAGAACCTGGCACGAGGTTACCGAATCCAACAGTACTCAGCGCCGTAAGGCAGAAGTAGACAGCGTCAATAAAGTTCCAGTTTTCTCCTACAGAAAACATGATAGCTCCAACAAAAATGTAACCAGTGATGAAAAGCATTACGACGTACACAGGAACCCGTTCTTCTTCTTTTGGTCGAGGGTTGTCTTCCTTGTTTGGACAAGTACCATCTAGGTTGGTGTGGTCAGAGAAGGGTGGAGGAAACGAGGAAGAGTTCGTGTTGTGAAGACGACTTTCTATAGAAATGTCACTACTATCGGTCAGCGATTCTTCTAGAACGACATCATTAGCTTCCACTAGCTCGTGGCGACTACTGTCACTGTCTCGACTACTGACGACAGACTGGGCAGCTGTCGATCTTTCATTTTCACTTGCACTAGTTATTAGGTTATCGGTAACACCAAGTTCTTCGTTATCAGTACATAATCGGTCACTGTCGGTCGCTTGTTGTTCGACTTGACCGTTCAGCTGTTGACTGGTGGCTGACGGTTCCAGGTTCCCATCAGTAGTCTGTTGCTGATTTCGAGTGGTTGAACTGTTGCCTGGAAAGTGTTTGTATAGCATCACCCTCACTGCTTCTCGAACTTTACTTATCCGAGCTCGCTGCCGGCACTGGACACACAAGACGTGGAAGTAACTAAACTTGAAGATCCTGGCAAAGAGGTGGCCAGCATTGAGAAGACAAAGGAACATCAGGGGAATTCCAACAGTGGCGTAAAGGACGGTTAACACTTTACCAAGGCTCGTTTTGGGTGCAGTGTTCCCGTAACCTGTATAACCAAATTAAACAACACATGTTTACTATTATTATGGCAGTGATTTCAACAACAACAACAGCAACAAAACTCCACTAATAAAAAAAAAATAGAAAAATAAATTCTGTCTATTATCATTCTAACTAGTTATGGGTTAGAAAATTGTTTTTAAGTAATAAAGAATTTAGTTATTGTTAAGCGCATAGGTACACAAAGGTATCACGGGTATCGAAATCTGGTTTTTAGTGTTTTAAATTTGCAGATTTGCCGCTGAGCCACTGGGGGGGGCATACTCAAGAAAGGAAGATTTATGGGGTTTTTGAGTCCTTTTTAATTCACCATATAACAACCTAAATTAAATTCCGACGTTCTGCAGCAGGCCTTTACGTCACAAATGTTATTTTCAATTTTACCATTGGTGAAAAAGAAAATAATTCTGTATATATATATATATCCTGTTGGTTAGGGCGTTCGACTCGCAACCTGTGGATCGCTGGCTTGAATCCCTGTCACCGAACATGCTCGTCCTTTCAGAGTGGGGGCGTTACAATGTGATGGTCAATCCGCTATTCGTTG